ATTAATTAACATATATTTGGCAAATATAAATTATTATCAAAGTCCTTAGTGAATTCCAAATTACATTCAAGTTGCCCTGCTGTGAATGTACTTTTCAGAGGGCAATATCCAAGATTTTTCTGTTTGTGTCAATCCCTGAAGCATAATGTGAAACAACCATAAAATCCCATGGGAATTGTTTTGCTGTTTCCTGAAGCCAGGCGCTCAGTGGCATCAAAACCAGACACAAAGTAGATGAGATAGTGATCTGGAATTGTAATGATGTGAGGAAATGAAAAGGTACAAGAATTAAGTATTTCATAGCATTATTCTGGTTAAGTACAGGAAGGGAAGAGGAAAGGAGAGTTGCAATAAAATGCTCTGTGTAAACACTGAAGCAGGAGTTGGATGAGTGCCCTCTTCCTTTGTCTATGTGGACCCTTAAAGCAACTGGGATGGTGGTGTTTGTAAATTTTCATACTGATGTGACTCGCTGTTTGCTTCTCTGCCTGCTATAAATGCCCTGAAATACTAAAAAAGATGGCAGATCTCCTTTTCATATGGGGGAATATTTTGCTTGTTTTCCTTAAAGGGCACACAATGCTGTAAATAATAGCAATTAAATTCTCTGCATAGTGGTAGGAATGAAATAATACCACTCATGAAGGCTAGAAATAAAAAACCCTGTCCCCTCCTCTTATGAAGAACACAGAACATGGATAAAACTTCATTTCTTCCCTTGAGTTTACTTCCAGTAGTTGCATAAGGACCTAGAAATACTTGTAACAGATCATTGACTATATATTACCTTTTTACTCATTCACCTAACACCTTCATCCATCTGCCATGCTGTTATCTCTCCCTGTTCAGATGAACTTTTTTCTCTAAAAAATAGAGGATTTTGTAATGGATTTTTTAAAATTTATTTTATTTTTCATTTTTATGTCATTTAAAGATGCTTAGGTATGGCAACCAGTAATGTCCCTGTTAGGCCTGCTTGGGCCTAAGGAGTCACACACAGTGTTAATAAATCTAAAGAAAACCTTCCAGTGCCAAAGTGTTTATAGCTGTGGTGGGGATTCTGTGATTTAAATATATTTATTTAATGTAAGCCTTGCTGTAAAATTGCTATTTCTGAGCTTATTATTATTCTGTTCTGATATATGTGTGTGTGTTATGATATAAAGTACATTTGCAGATGGGAATATTAGATACAAATAGTATATACACATAGTAAATGTCAGAAAAGACACAAAAGGAAAAGAGCCAAAGTGAATTTGGACTCCTTACATGTCTGAGACACAATTTCAAGACAGATTAACATATGCAAAATTGAGATGAAGAGCTGTCTTCATACTTCAGCTTGGGTTTAATTACATAAATGATTCTTCTGATGAGCTGGTTGGGTGTATAGCAGATAACTTGGAGAGGAGGTTCCCAAAGGCTTGGAAACTTCTCACAGAGTATTCCCAAGTGTAATGAAAAAGATCACCAACTCTGTTACCTCCAAAAGAGGAAAAGGAGAAAGGGAGCTGTTGAAAATGCTCTCTCTCTCTGTGTCAGCATGCTCTGGGCATATTTTACCTCAGAAAATTAGGATTTCTGTCAAGAGAGGTTAGTTAAAATTAATTGCATGAGCTGTATGTATTCATACAGTGCAACTCTATGGAAGATGAAAACACTAGATATAATTCAGGACTATTTAATGAATCTACATAACAGTTACAGAATGCAACAGTGTGCCATTGACATTATTGCTGAAGTAACAGTTGTAATGGAACAAAGTATTTTTGAAAATAAATATTTTCAAAACTGTAGTGTACATTAATGGGAAAAAAACTGTATGGAAAAGAACTACCCAGCATTTATTTTGAAAATTATCATTAATCAAACAAATATTGAAAGACTATGTTCTGATTGAAAATGAGGTTTATCAAATGATGATTGAATAAAAGAAAAAGCAAACCAGAATGAGTAAAAATAGTGTTGAAATTAGTTTTGCAGTCCATCAGCTGTCAGCAAAATACTGTAAGGTATTACTTTGTAGTTTACAGGTATTTTCATATATCACAAAGTTAACAAGCACAACTAAAACAAAACTGTTACTTATGAAAAGCTGTACCTTTTGGAAAGGAATATATCCTGTTGTGAACAAGAGGTCATCACATCAAGGCTACTTTAAAGTTAGTGGAACGTCCCTGTTTTCTGAGTTTATATATTTTAGTAATTGCAACTATCACAGTAATAAAAAATTGTCTCTTTTTAAAGTCTAAAACATTCATATTAACTGATAAACTTCAGTGTGTTAGAATAGTAAATTGGGATATTCTGGCATTCTAGTTTTAATAGTCATATATCTGTTTGCAAGTCAACAGGATTCATATGATATTTATAATTTCGGATGCTGTATTAGTGTCATGGTGTTTCATTGTGCAATCTGTTGCAGATTATTATAAATGACAGCAAATGGCAGCCCTTCACTGGTTATGCATTTCTTCTGAATGCTGTTAGTGACACCACTCTTTATTAAGGGAAGGCTCAGAACTAGTTTTGTTTTTTTTTAAAGTTAAAACTCAATTATGTGGCAGAAGGTGGGAGAAATCTACATCAACTGTTTGTTGCATTAAATCATTGGGGCTGTATTTAAGTCACAAGGGCTGGAATTGGGCCACAGGAACATGTGTCCTTCTGCTTTTGCAAATGATATGTCGCATTTTTAAATACTGTTGTTGTCTGAGATTTAATAGACCTAATTGGCCTTACAGATGAACTCTGAAGAATTTCAACTTTGAACTTAGGAAGGAAAAAGAATCTGAACTTTCTCTTGTTGATAATTATTTCCCATGTATCAAATAGAAAAAAATATAAAGAATTACAGTTACTGAATGTGAGCTGTATCTTATTTCTCAAATGTAGATTCATTTATTTTGAAATGTCAAGAATAGAGAAACCACCCTCTAGCAGAAACTTGTTTGTGTGGTATGGGCTTGTCAGCCTTTTATTATAATTCCGTTCCTCAGGCTATAAAAATTTGCTTTAAGCCAAAAGCTGGATGTGAAATATTAACCTTTTGATAAACTTGGTTTATCAAATTTAGCTGAATTTGGCTTCATTTTGAGTAGTTCAAAGGTTCAACCAAAAAGGAATTTTGTTTTTTTGACCAGAATTTGACCAAAAAATGCACATTTGCTGTGTGCATTACTCAAATTACTGCTTGTGTGTAACTGGCTCTTTTGTGCTGCTTATGTGAAACTCTTGGGGTGTTTACTTTATATGGTTGCCATTTCTATCGATGGAAAATAAAGACTAACATATGGATGAGATATCTCCCAAACTAACTCATCTCAGTTAGACTTCCTTTTGCTCCAGCTTGGTCTAAAATTCCCTGAAACAGAGTAAATGTGTGTTACAGTTTAAACCTTGTGGGCTGCTCACTCCTTCTCCAGTGGGATGGGAGAGAGAATCAGAGGGGTAAGAATGAGACAATTCATAGATTGAAATAAAGACAATTGAATAGGTAAAGCAAAAGTGTTGTGCAGAAGCAAAGCAAAAAAAGGAATGCATTCACCCCTTCCCCTGGTCAGGCAGGTGTTGAGCCATGTCCAGGAGAGCTGGGCTCCATCATGTTTGACCTTTCCTTGGGAAGAAAAGTGCCATCACTCCAAACGTCCCTTCCTGCCTTCATCCTTCTTCCTCCAGTTTTATATATAGGGCTGAGTATGAAAAGGGAAACAGTTTTTGGAATTTCAATGAGATTTCAATAAAATGTTCTTATTCACAATTATGATGATGCAAAGGATACAATTGTCTCCTTTTGCTGCCATTCTTTTACAGCAGTCAATATGCAACTGTAATATTACAGCTTAAATGTGAAGAGAAGCACTTTATAGAAAAAAATCTGCCTTATGTTAAAACTTCTTTGCCTAAAGTTTTAACTACACATACATTACCTGAGCCTTATTTATCTTTATTGACTTTTAACAAGACAAGCTAAAATAGGGTTAGAAGCTCTCAAATGAGATCAGGTATAATCCTAGAATTTTCTCAATGTAGGCAAATATGTGCAGCTAGGGAAAAATTCCTGATTGTAGTCCATCTTCTTATATTCAACTTGTTCTATTTTTCTGTGTCCTTAAGATAGAATAGGATGTTAGTTGTAGGGCTGAGGATTTCACTGAACTCCAAGAAAAAAGGAATTGGGACATAGAGCAAATGCAGCAGAAGAGAAGGGCTGACAGTTGCTATTTTTTTCTGTTTAGCTGGCATATTTCTCATATTTAAGGAAATTTGGAGCTGTGATTGTATAAATGCAAAGTCATCCTGCCTGTTGGTGCCAATGTTCTGCACTTAGTTTACTGGATTGCATTTGTGTTGCTTGGTTGCTGGGCCAATTAATTTGTCAGAAGCTTGGACTTCTTTGGTTTTTATTAAGCTTCTGTAAAAATTTAATCCACATCATTTGGAGCAGTAAGCCCTGACAGGCAAAAGATGGTATATATTTTTTAGTTTTTAAAAATAATTTCAGACTGAAAAGTGTTTTTCAATAGACTTGGAAAGGAATGGGCAAGACTAGGCCATGATTCAGAGTAATGTCCTTTTAAATTAGGACTTTGAGATGGATATAAGTAATGTGCTCAGATAGCATAAATAGGAAAAAAAATGAAAGTAGAAAAGGTCCCAAACAGATGCCTGGCAGCAGTTTTTCACAGAAACAAAAAATGTGTGGAATGTCCTAGACATGAGTATACAACTGAGAGGTAAACGTTGTGCTACTTAGGGAAATTCAAAAGTATCCAGGGGCATGCAGGACACAGTAAACTTTGAAATGTAGAGAACTATTAATGCTATTATATGCTTCAAATATCTTCAAATGTGCTTGGCTATACAGAGATACTGACACTGAATTAACCATCACTTTTACGTGGTTTAGATCATCACCACCTCTCCTTTAGTGAGTCCTCTGGGGAGCTCATATGGGTAATTTGTTCAATTTTTGCCTTCTTTTGTCTGCTTATTTATAGGTTGCTTCTGAATTCATTACATGGACGTTTCCCATCCTTATGGTATTGATTTGACATGCTCTGGAATCATGATGGTCGTGATGGTCTCTTCCAGTGGGCTGGCAGTGGAGAATTAATGTTTGGTGTGGCAGAAAGGTGAGTTTAATCTGTGCTACTCACTACTTTCCATGTGGAGCTTGTTTCTTTCCTAAAACCCCTTTGATTCTTCTTACAGAAAATTTGAAATATCTCGAATCAATAACAATTATCTTTACCTAAGATGTAATTTACAGATAGAGCTGCAATCTGCATGAAGCAGTTCCACAAGTAGACTACTAAAATGGACATGATTCTTATGTGAATATCAGAGAGCTGCAGTTTATCTAAATGAAATGTAGAGAGTTTAAGGTTTATATTTTTGTTCCAGTTATAAATATGTCTGAGTAAAGAAAGTTAGGAAAGTCTCTAGGAAATAATAGTTAACTTGCTACTGTACACTTACAAGTCAAAAATTGATTGTACAATTCATCACTAGTGAACTTATCTGTGGGGAGCATATCTTTGACTTGAAATGTAATTGTAGGTAACGAAATAATGTTGTTCTTTTCATCTGCAACTTACTTGTCAGTATAGTTTGACCATAAATCCTACAATGATCAAAGTTGCAAAGATTCATTTCTGACCAGGATAGGAAAGACTCTTTTCTCTGAAATAGCCTGATTTTTAGTCAATTCATGACCTTTAGAACAAAGCCAGGAGTTTTTTGTGGAGCCACTATTTTAACAGTCAATAGGCTGACTAGGATAACAGTTTTGTGCTAATTATATTTCAGTCTGTCCAAACCTATTTAATCACTTTTACATAGTGGCTTCTAATTTATTTGCTTTTCCACTGTGACAGATCTGACCTCACAGTAAAGTGTACACATTACTTTCATAATCTGCAAGCCACTGGTTTTTTCCCAAATTATTTGGTTTTGTTCAACAGATTTTGGACAAAATTCTATGAAACATGGAAAAATTGTGGGCCAAAAATCCTATGGTAGGCAGCTATGGCTGGATTGTCTAAAAGTATTAAAAAAAGCTTAAATCCTCTCAAAAATCATCAACAATCTTTTTATATTAACCACATAAAATATGCAGAGCGTATGGTGTAGCTGATGCATTATTGACAGTTAGTTGTCCTAACAGACAGATGTGCCGTCATTCAAAATTTATGCCAGCAAAACCAGTAAAATAGTGCAAACATTAAAATACTTGTCTATTATCCTCCATAAATCATACATCTAACATGCTGTTATGAATATTCTAAAACTTCACTGATTGGTTTTGTTTTGGGCTTTTTTTCTTGTTAAAAATAAGAAATAAAAATGAAACAAATGTTAGTGGTTGGATGGTAGAAATTGAAGATGAAATAAAGCCAGAATGTTCAGGTATTATCATAAGAAAGGGAGGGAGTACTAATATTTTTGAACAATACAGAAATAATATAGGAAATAATTGGCATATTATCATAATTGCATTTATGTTCATGATATCAAGGTCAAACAAAATAGTATTAACAGTAGCAGGATGTCATTTTACTGATTCCGGCAGATATTAATTGAGGTTACAATAATTTGGTGGTGCTGAAAAGAGACAGGTGAATATCAAACCCAGAGGACTTCCACTATATTGCATATTCTTTACCATCTGTTTTGGGAATTCCATATTCAGCCATGGACTGGGAAAGATTAAAAGTTTTATCTCCTTGTTTTCCATTTCACTTCTTTATAAATGCTGCTTTCAAGTTAATATTATGATGGCATGTGTATATTTTTAATTTGAACTTAAAAGTTTGCATTTTTATAACAGAAAAACATGTTTTCTATTAAGTGTTTATATTTTGAAGCACTAAACTCCTAATTATTTATTCTGGTTCAAATAGTATTTCCTTGGTTATTAATGAAAATCATTAATTGTTTCAGCAATAAGTGTTAGCTGTTTCTTTCTCTGGTCTCTGAAATCTTTTGTAATAAGAGGAACCATTTACTTTGCCCTTTTAGTGGTAAAAAAAGAGAAGTCATTTAAAAGATTTATGCCAGTAGAACATGGAGAGTATTAAATGAGCTTCACATTGGTTCTAAACCCAATAGATATTTAACTGAACAGTATTAATGGATGTTCAAAGGCATTTTGATTAGTTCATGCAACCAGCTCAACTTCCTAATAGAGGAGGCATGGTGATATATGTGTTAAAAGAACTCTGTTGATTAAGCAGTGTTGCTCTTTTATTCAGTCCCTGGCAATGTAACAGCATAGGAAGTACAAAGTCTAAACTTTACCAGCTGAATCAACACAAGAACATTTTGTTTTGGTTTTATGTAAAACTGTTGTTGTGATAGTTAAAAGATACTGCTTCCTAAGTTCTCCAGTATCTCATTTTGCTTTAATTAAATTTTCTACATGTTAAATAAATATTGGATGTAAGTTTGAATTGACAGTAAAGTTAGAAAATCAAACAGTGTGTATGTCTTAAATTAAAAAATCAATGATTGTTTTCTGAGTCCAACTGGCTGATCTGATTTAGCTAAAGCTTTGCAAAAATGTCATCTTGATGGACATATGGAGCTGAAAAACATCATCTGATAATTTGTCAAATGCACATATGTGTTTAAGAAGATCTCAGAACAGGAACAGTTTTTTGCTTAATGAGAGACACTTCGGGCTCATTCCTTGATACATCTGACCTCAGCTGATCTCTCACAACAAAGGGAGCACCCCAAGAGAGGTCCAGGGGGCACCCAGCTGCCTTGGGTGTCCCTCACAGCCCCCAGCAGCCATGCAGGGGTGGGCACTGGGCATTTTGGGCTGCTGGAACTAAGGCCATACCAATGTCACTAAACACTCCAGTCTTAGCCCTTAAAAGATGCAGCAGTGTTTGCTGAAGGTGACCTTTTGTCTGAAAATGAATTGCATGTGTTACAGTGGTAGTAAAACAATGGTTTTCCTATGTTTTGGAAGTTTTCAAATTTTTTCTTTGTGCTGCAGAGCACAATGTCTTCAACAGAGTGTGATCAGTGGCAAATTTATGAAACTGTTTGAATATGACTATGCTAAATGTTTGGTCTTAATACTGAGAGTTTTTTTTAAATTGTTTTAATCTTGTGGGTGCTGTGTAAATGAAAGGAAAATAAATGTTTTATTCAGATCACCCAAGAAAAGTGGGAAAATAACTGAAATAGCTGGATGTTTCTGTTAAAATGTGTCAGTGCTTGGCTAAAATGATGGCACTTAAACAGATTTACATTTTGAACCATGAAAAAGAAAGCATTTGGGTTCCAGCTGGTAATTAACCCCTACCACTTTTTCCCTGGCCTCAGCTCCTCTGGCAGGGTATGTATTCTGGAGGGAGGACCTAATCTGTCTTTTATCCTCTCTAATTGCTCCTATAATTGGGTGTGTATGTCTATACGCACTGCAGTGGTTGTGGCCCCATCTCCATCTCAGGAAGATGACATTACTGAATCACATCTGCCACACCTGGCACAAGGCTCTCAAGCTTAGAGTGAAAGTGGAATTTTCCTTAAATGTAGTAGGATGTATGGCAAAGGAGAAGAGAGGACATCTAGGGCTTTTGTTGTTCTGTTGATTTATTTTGGTTTTGCCATTTTTGTTTTGTTTTGTTTTTCTTTATTTTTGTATTTTTCCCGGTTTCTCTTTATTTATTCTCTGGGAGCCCGTGGCAGTCGGTGTTGCATTTGCACAGATCTGAGTGACACGACTTTTGGCCGTAGGCTGCATCAAGTCTCACTGCAAATATCTGATTACCTCCTGACCAGCAGCTAACCCTGCTCTCCAGCTGCTCAGTGAAGGAGGATATCTCCAACCCAGCCATTAATCAGTGTAATCTGTTACTGGCCTTCTCACATCAGCCCCGTGCCTTCACCACATTCTCCCTGCTTTTATTCCTGCTTTCCCCCTGCCTGTCAGGGACTCTGAGACCTGGGAGTCCTCCCAGCTTCCTATTACATTACTTCCCAGTAGCTGGCAGAAAGAATTATATAGTTATCCATGGACATTGCTACAAGATGCATTTAATGAATGGCCAGGCTGTCAAATGTTTGAAATTGATGTAGGAGGAATGTTTCTTGCCAGTTTGAATAAGGATCTGAGATCTGGGATTTGCAATAAGTGTACAGGTTCTCAGCTTGTCTGGGCAGCAGCTGCCTGGCTGCAAGAGCTCTGGAAAGAGAAATTAAGCTGTGGAATGGCTGTGCTTGTAAAAAATGTCAATATTTGCCTGCTGTGTTGCTGACAATTTTTAGTTCTTCTTGTAAAATGTTCCCTAATTAACCAATGGCATAAGATGCTCCATGGGAATTAGATGTCAAATTTTTCAGAAAGAAAGGAAGAAATATTTCTCATCCAGCTGGGAGGAATTGGCAGCTGTGCCCAAAGTCCTGATATTGCTAAGTCAGTTCTTTAACTGAAATGGAGAGTCAGATTAAGGCTTGTGAAAGTTGCATGATAATTTAGTTTCTTTCTTATTGGTGTGAAATGTCTGATATGCAGCTTCTCTGATCCTTTGCTCTTACTTTTATGTGGGTTTGCATAAATATGCTGCTTGAGCTGAATCACATTTCCTTTGCCCTTACAATTCTTCATGAGCAATGCAATTAAACAGCTCATGAAAAAAGTATACTAGTAGGATTTGATTTAGGCCAGTGTTTATAGCACTTAAACCAGTGTATCTTAGGCCTATCCTGTGTTGACATAAAAAGCTCATAGAGAAAACTACATTATTAAAGTTATAGAGCTGCTGTAATGTACATAATCATATGGTTCTCTTACACCCCTTCAGAACTTTTTCTCTCTACACCTGCTTTGTGTAAGAGGGAAACTTCTAGGATATTAAGCATGCTCACATTGTGTTAATATTTGAATTTTGGCACAAGAACTGGTTTTGACATTTAGTCCATGCTGTAACATGCTTCTCATGTTTCTAAAATAGTGTTTTTTCTGCTTATTAATAGTAGGTATTTTAGTGTTGCTCTAAAATGTAAAATTGAGTTGGTTGAAAATTATCTAAGGTGGAGTAATTTTCAGAAAGAGAAAAGTCTGGAGACAGCAGAAAGCCTGATATAGGGTCATTCCTGCCAGATACAAGAAATTGTT